TTAAGCAATTTTTTTTTTTTTTTTTTTTTTAGATGAACCTTACCTAGATAAAAAGTAAAATATTTTTCCAAAAATATTTTAAAAAATTAATATATACAAAAAAAAATGAAAAATGTACAGAATTTCGTATATATATATTTTTTGTATTTTTGACATTAGTGAACTTTTTTTAAAACAATTTCACAAATATTATACTTTTTAAGTGTATTTATATTAGATGTGTCTAAAATTTTTTAAAAAAAATGCTTAAACTATTAAAAAAATTCAGTCAAAATAAAAAAAATACAGAAAACGAAAAAGTAAAATTTTTTAAAAAGTGAATTCTGAAAACTGAAACCAAATAGAGTGAGTAATTTTCAAATTTATTTTCTAAATACACATTATTTCTTGAAGTTCTATTTGATTAACATCTTTTAGGATTAAGAAAAATCATGTTTAACTTACTACAAAATTATTTGAATTCGTCTATTTAAAACACAAATTTAATTTAAAAATCATGTTTTGAAAATATGGTTTCATAAAACATGAATTCAATAATAAACAAATCTTTGCTTAATTTTTTTTTCTTTTTAAAAAAGGATAAATTACAAACACACTCCTTGAGGTTTACTTAAATTATAAATTATTCTTTGTAGTTTTAGAAATTATATTATATTTCTTAAGATTTCTAATTTCATAACAAATAGATCATTTTATTAATAAATTACCAAATTAATTAACAGTTTTTAATAATTTAAAATTTTTATTTTAATTAATAATTCAGATAATTTTATTATTATATATGTGAATAGTTAGAAATTTCACTTTTCAATTAATTCTGTTAAATAAAAATAATTGATAGAAAGATATTTATAATTTTTTAAACTATAAGAATAATTCATATTTTAAACAACATCAAGGGCCATATTTTTTTTATTCAACCATTAGTGTGTGTCTGGAGTTAGAAAACAATGTAAAATGTGAGAAATACGATTACATCTACATTGTTCTAATAAAAAAATGCAAAAATAAAGCCAAGAACCAACCTTAACTTTCTCCTTCTCAGCCAAGAAGTCACTCCTCCAATCCTTCTTCCCATGATTTTCCTCCAAAAAATAAGCCTCTGGACATCTTGTTTCAACTCCAAACCTCCTACAAAAAGGAACCCAACACTTTGAAAACCTCCAAGCCTCTTTCATGGCATTCAAAGTCACATCCGAACCACCATCATCTGAAAGATAAACACACAGCTTCTTCACTGGATAATCCATAGCCATGGCTGAAACCACTGTGTTCATCACCTCCACACTCGGCTCTTTATTCGGGTCCGTCGTGCAAATAAACACGTCGATTGCCGGAAGTTCTTCATCTTCCGGCAATCGATCCGGGAAGGCAGTCCGCGAGACGGGCCGCCACCGGTATGCTATGCCGAGAACCCAAATGAAAGAGAGAATTAGTTCAGCGAAGGAGAGAAAGAGTAATGGGAAGATGGGTTTGTCTCCGGTTTTGAGGGTCTGAAAGATGCTGGAAGATCTGTAGTAGATTAGAGTTGCTAGGGCTGTGGAGTGGAGGACAGAGTGTGTTCTGTTGATGATGAGAGAGGTTTTTTGGACATGGGAAATATTTAGAGGAAGAGGGTTCGTTTCCATTGTTGTTGATTCTCTTTTTCTCTACTCTTTCTTTTTTGTGTGTTTCTCTCGGGTGTCCCAAATGTTTTTCTGACATGAAAATGGGTTATGCTATAGATGGAGATTTTATAGGGAAATTACATGTAAGAGATATTTTCAAAAATTAATTATAAATGCATTAAAAAAATTATGATTTTACTTTTTAGTTTTATAAAATTTTAAAATGATTATCCAATTTTATACTAAAACGTTTAATTGTAAATCTTGATTAGCGGATACTAAATATTTTGATCAATTTATGTGCACCCGACTAATAGCAGGACCCATGCAAATGGTTTCACGTGGATCGGATAAATTTGAAGTCTCAAAAAATTAATAGCACCTAGTAAAAATTAAACCTGAGATTTGAAGGAAGTACTCCTCAAATCCTAAGCTACACCCGGTAAGTCAATCCCATGGGATTTGGTAAATTTATATTTAACAATTGGAAAACACTGTGCACCATATGCACTTTTTAACTAAAAAAAAAATTACATAATTTTAATTTTCTAAGTCATAATTAAAAAGGGGAGGGGGAGAGAATCATAGCTAAACATAACATAAGATATAACTAAAAAATCATGAGTTATAATTAAAATAATATCATAATTATAAAAAAAATTAATCATAATTAAAAAAAAATAACATAATAATAATACATATGTTACACTTTTTTTTTAAAGGGGATGTATTAGAATTTCTCTTAACAATAAGATAATATTGTTTTACTAAATAAATAAATAAATGAAAATTTACCACATTATTAATTGACAACACGGAAGAATGTGATCAGATTTACAAAATTAATGATAAATCTTGATTAGCTAATCTTGATTATCAATCACATAAAACGACAATGTCACATGTCACGTGGTCCATTACCAGCAAATTTACATGCTATGACATTTTTATTTCAATTATATAATAGTGAACAAATTCATTTTCTCTTCTCTTTTATTTCATGGTAGGCCAGTATTTTTCTTAGTTCAAAAAAACAAGTTTAGGTTCTTACTTCAAAAAAAAGTGTTGTATTTTTCTTGGCTGACAAGTTTAGGTTCTTACTTCAAAAAAAGTGTTGTATTTTTCTTGGCTGACAAGTTTAGTGTCTTTTTTATTTTTATTTTTATTTCTAAGAAAATGGAGATAATTTGTTTTCAAGTTATTTTTGGATTTCTTCTTTAAAGCAATATATATTTTAGAAAAGAAAACAATATATTGGTACTTTCTCTTCTTTTCTCTTTTTTTTACATATTATATTATACATTCTCTTACATGGATGGGGATTCACAGTCTCTGTGAGTTACATACCAAACTGCCTAAAAAAAGTGTAGAAATTTAAGAAACAGCTTCTCTACAATTTCCAATCCTTTTTAAAAAAGAAAATTATTTCTTATTTAAATGTCATAACTAAATAAAAAAATTAATTATTACTTGTTAGCTACATATTTTATATAAACCAATTACAATTCAACGCGTGGCAGAATAAGGGTAATACGGGAAGACTATTCAAGTCTTTAATTGTGATCGTACACGTGGTAGTTAATATTGGTTCTTACAAGATCTGCGTAGTACTGGATCAGTAAAGAGATGTAAAGTGATATGACTTCAACGGTTACTCACATTCAAATTCAAAATCAGGAAGGAAGCCTAACTGCAGATAATGACATAGTAGAGCTACCTATAAGGCAACATGATCAAGGATCATGGAGGAGCGATTCGACGGTTAGAAGTGCAGTTCGATGGTTATCCTTGAGAAGTATAAATAGCAGAGAAGGCCCCAGAAAAAGCCCCCAGACTCAGATCCTAAAATCCAGTTTTATCTACTTTATTTCCTTTCCAATTTTACATTTCCTGCTCTTTGTATTTCTGTACTTTAAAATTCCTGCATTGCATTTCGTTCATAGGAGTAGTTTCAAGTAGATTGTTGCTGTAAACCTTTACAAGGCTAAATTGGATCATTGTAAGTCTTTCGTTTTACTTAATGAAATACTACAATTGTTCTTCATTTAATCATTGTTTGCTTAATTCTCCTAAACAAAGCCACCAGTAAAAGTCCTCTTCATTGAGGCTGAAAGAACCAAAACACAATCGTCTGATAATTAGTTGGCAATTAACATTCTGTAAGGACTGATTGATCCTTACTGGCACGCTCACAATTACAAAAATAACCTTCAAAAGCCAAAAAAACGAACATATATTTTTGGCACGCCTAGTGGGAGCAATTGAAATGGCTAGACGTAGGAGACAAGGAGAAAATGAACGCTTGGAAGAAGGCATGGAAGGAGAGGTAGAAATGCCTAATCCAGAGGATAACGTGATAACATATCCTGTGGAAACATCCATTTTATCAGAACCTATGGTCGAACAGACCAGCACTTCGGAACAAGTACCACATGTTCATAATATTGGACGAGGCCAAGGAATTGGACCATCCACTGTTCCATCTACTCAACCAATGAATCCATGGGGTGGCCTAGTAGATGCCATGGGACAACAGTTAATGAACACAATGGAAAGATGGGCAACATCCTTTTTGAATTGAATGAATACCCACCAACCAACAAATGCAAGGCATATAGAGGAAAATTCAAATGCCCCTCAGCAAAGATTGGCTAGAGATAAACAGACTATGCAAAGTAATAGGCATACTAATGGTCAAACTAGTAACCAAAACCATAAAAGACCACCACCTCAGTCTTGGTATGAGCCTCTTTCGAGGCCTATGGCGAATCAAAATGCTTCATTACTTAACAGTGAAGCCATGCAAATTGGTGGATCTAGCCCAACACAGGATAATGGTGTAAGGATGGTTCTAAATCCCATGTTCGAAGCCATACCTGGCACGAGGGGGTTCATTAATCCTTTGTTCGAATTTATACCTGGGGGGTTGGAAGGTTTTCCTACAACTGGAAGAGACACAACACCTGCTCCAGCATTTTTTGCAGGTCCTTTCGCAGGACAGGCTCAAAGGGGTCACCCACACCCCCAACCGTAGCCAGCACCACAGGGACAACCAGTCCCAAATATACCACCCTATGGACCAAGAGGACCCCAGGCACAAGGTTGTCTACCAAATCCTGTGTTTGTTCCTCCAGTAGTGGTCTAACAGGCACAAAATATGGTCCCTAGGGACAAAATTGCTGATATTGTTAGAGAGATATATGGACCAATGGCTCGGGGGGTTCAAACTGCTGTATACAGGAAGCCATATCCAGAATGGGTAGATAGAGTACATAAATACCCAAGGGGGTTTAGGATACCTGACTTCGCTTTTTTTATGGGAATGGAAACCAGTCAATGGTTGAACATATTGCTAGGTTCACTGCTCAGTGTGGTGAATTTACTAACAATGACTATATAAAGTTAAGATTGTTCCCAAATTCTCTAACTGGGGCGGCCTTTGTATGGTATATCAACCTTACATCTGGCTCTATCCAAACTTGGCAACAAATGGAAGAGGCATTTCATACTCAGTTCTTCCAAACAGAGCCAAAGGTTTCCATGGCAGACTTGGCAAGATTGAGTCAAAGCCTTGATGAGAAGGCTACTCAGTTTATTGCCAGATTTAAAAGAGCATGAAATAAATGTAGGATCATCTTATCAGAGCCTGAATTCGTGAGATTGGCTCAAAATGGTTTCGAGTTTAGGCTTCGAAAGAAGTTTGATTCAACTAAGTTTAGAGACTTAGTGGAATTAACCTATAAGGTGTCTAAGTATGAAGCATTACTAGAAGAAGAACAAGATCGAAGTAATGCATCGTACAAGACGTATTATAGAGATCCTAATTATGAAAATATGCACAGAGATTGTAGGGAAAAAACCTGTGATCTGTGAGGCATTAATTCATAAAGATACAACAATTGATCAGCAGTTTAAAAAGAAAGACCTTCATATGAAATACTCTTTCGACTTAACAAAGGCAGATGACATTTTTGATCGTTTGCTTGCTGTAAATTTCCTGAAGTTACCAAAAGGAGTCAAAATTCCGTCTCCAGATGAACTTAAAGGAAAATTGTATTGTAAATAGCATAATTCTTGGTCTCACTCAACTAAAAACTGTATTATTTTTTGAGACAGGATCCAAGAGCAAATTCGAAAGAGGAGTTTAAAATTCCCAGCTAAAGTAGAAAAGGCCATAGGGATTGATACTAATCCGTTCCCGGAAATTGGAGAGGTGGCAGCTAATGTTATTATGCTAGACTTCCAGAAGTTGTCCTTGAAAGAATTAGAAGAAGTCAATGTACAAATGCATGTGGCCAACCGAACAACTGTCAAGAAAGACACTGGAAATCTACCAGCTGTTGGACAAGGTTTCTCAGACCAGAGGGAAGACTCTAATGAAGAAGCACTGAATGACGATTCTTTAGAAGCAGCTATCATGCAAAGAATGTGTCCCAGATGCAGGCTGAACTACAAGTGGTTGAAAGGGCTTCTAATTGATGGGAAGCAATATTACAAGGATGTGCAGAGGCGTCCTAAGCCAACCAGTGCTTATAACAAAAGGCCATATCCAATTGGTACGAAGCAGCAGCCATTAATGGCTGAGCCAACAGTCACTAGGATGCACTCTAAAGGCAAGAGACCTCTACATGAATCTAGGCCACCTAACTATTACAGAATGGAGGGTAATCATCTTGAAAGAAGATCTGAAAGGGGTTCAAGTTACGGGATCAAAGCTAGGGATTGGCATCCTAGACTAGTCTCACACGGGACAGAAGGTGGCCATCTTCATCAAAGGCCTAAATTGGGCCCAAAACAGGAAGTCAAGGCCAAACAGTAGCCTTCACAACCAGGTTCGAAGGAAGAAAGAAACAGTTCAACAGCTGGGTCAGTAGATTCGTGGGTGCTTGGAGTTCCAGATTGGTTTGTCATGCAGAACAAACCTAGGGAGATGTTTACCCAAAGAAGTGTTGTTGGAAACCAAGGTAGGATGGTCAAACCTCCTTTGGTGGCTCCAAACAATTGGGTATTACTTGAGCACCCGAAAACAAAAGAACCAAACACGGTCCCAGTAATTTCTAGATCCCAAAAAAGGAAGATCCAACAAAGGTACACTCAGTACCAGAAGGATTT